AAACACTTTCGTCACCATTTTTAAAAAAAAAAAAAAAAAAATTCTTACAGATAAAAATATATGTACAATTTGTTTTGTAACAATTAATAAAAAAATAATAATAAAAATAAACATAATTCAACGTATAAAATTTCTTCATTTTATTATCTTCAAGTGAGATAAGGAGGGCGAACGAACCATACACATCATATGCCTATATACTAACGATCTCTCGATGAAACTTCTAACACACATGAGCACGTGCAAAAGATTAATTAAAGCACACGTTGGACAACCGATTAAATCTCAACGCTCGTATATACGTTGTGCTGATTTATCTGTCCTCGAGCGCGTATAAATACAAGAATCCGTGGAAAAAACAAAGAACAATTGATTGAAAAAAAGTCCAAGATGCTGCTGCCACGCTGTCTCGTTTCCTTCCTCGTCCTCGCCGTTGTTTTCGCTGTCGCTTGCGGTACGAACGTCGAATCACTCGACAAGGAGTTCGACGAGGTAAACGACCTGATCAGCTTACTCGAGGTGTCCCTGCGAAACGATGAGGTTTCTGAAATGATCAATCCGGTGAGTCTACGATTTTTAAGGGGATGATGGTGAATAGTATTTTTAACGGGGATCTACATTACCGGCAGAGATAAGCATGCTAGAGTTGTGTAAAAAAAACATACAATATGTTTTTAGTAAAATAAATAAATTAGCAGATTAAGTAACAAAACTGGGATTGTGCATGTATTCAGCGTAACCTGTATATTTATTCATTTATTTATTTGTTAACCCTACGGGTCAAAGCCCCAATTACTACAAGGCTGCGTTCACACGATGCAGAAATTTACACGATGGAATTTTGGTTGGCCAACCAGAACAAAGCTCCCACGTGTATAAAGTTAATAGAAATAGTTAATTTGCATAATCAGTGTAGTAACTTTTTATCATAAATTTCAAATTTGACTAAATTGTGCTGATACTACGCTGCTGACGTCTTGTGAAAAAATTGTTATTTATTATCTATCTTTATTATTAAAAAAAAAATCTATGATCAGTAAAATAGATTACATGTGGCTAGCTGATAAACATGTATTATGATGTCAAGATAAAATTTTTAACTAATATTTTGCATGGTACAGAAAAAAATCTTGAGCAATGTTATCCAATATTTAATTAGTTTATTGGATCCCACTAATGAACTCGTTTAATTTCCACAGAGTTTAGCAGCGATTCTCAAGTACCTCCAATCACTGATTAAAGTTGCCTCAATGAACTGCATCAAAAAAATTATTGTCAATTGTATCGTAAAGCCATCCGCTTTCATCAATTGTGCTGTATGTAGATTTTTATAGAAAAAATTAAAAAAGTATTTTTATTTGAATTAAAGATACGAATATTATTTTCTGTTTGCAGAAGGAGTTTCTTAACGAGAACAAAATGACATGCGGCTCACCTATTGTCCACTTAAAGAGATAATTCACCAATATCGTACTGAAACTTTCTACCATTTATATTTTACCACTACATTTTTTTTTCAAGCACACATCTCGTATAGATTTTTATTAGGTTCATTAAATAACACATCGTTTGTACATATCGTGTTTCACGAGGCATTCAAAGGTAGTATTATTTTCTCACTCTTATTTCTGATACGGATAAAAATGCTTGATTTCATTATTTACAAAGTTTTTTTTGTTTCATCATTGTACCTAGATGCTTTTTTTTTTTAAACCACCTACGATAATTTGTTCAATATTTCATTATTGATATTGATTTATCCATTTTGATTGTAATTAATGTATTGTACTTTGTCGTCAACTTTTACAAGGAAGTAATTTTTCGAATAAAATTTTATTAAATTGGAAAGAATAAATTATATTACAGCTATCTATAAGACAAAAACTTTAAAATTTACTTAAATATCATATAAACATCCAAAGATAAAAATATGTGCTTACAACATTGATGTAGAGTTTATGGTAATAAAAAGTTTATTCATATTGGTCGTTTTATTATTATTACTTAAAATCTGTTTTTTTTTTTTTACTTACTTTATATGGAGCTTCTTCTTTTTAATTTAGCGACACTTAATAGTATCACCTTAACTTTAACATAATTAAAATAGAAAGTTGTGCAAAAAAAGAATGCAACTACTAGAAAACGAGTCTTGTTGTGTGACTACACTACATATTATAACACACCTTTAAAAAATATTTGTTTCTAGACTTATGTCATCACAATTGAAATATTTGAATTAACTACAAAATTGACAACAATTATTCATTTTTTTTTTTTTACATATTTTACTGATTAAAAAATTATAACTAAATATTATAAACGTTCATCTAGTTTTTAAAACAAATTTTTTCTCAGATAATGGAAGTACTTAAGTACATTTGATTGTTAATTGATCGCTATTTCAACTGAAAATAAAATGTATTTTTTTTTCTTTGAAATCCCAATCAACGAATCAAATTTTGTTGTTAATCAACAGTTTTTTTTAAGGACTAAATTCAATTATCAATCTAAAATGATTCAACACAAATATAAATCTATATTGATAGTTTCTATTATCTGATACTCCAACGGCATTATGATTGATCATTTTTTTTTTTTTTTTTTTCAACAGACACTAAATGGCCGATTGACGCGTTCAAGCCCATAAACACATGAGGCCATAGTTGGTAAGTCTTTGGACTGTAACTTTGAATTCTGAGACTTTAATGTTTGTATCGAGAGAAATTCTCCACATGCTCTTGTATTACACAACAAAGCTTGAGTACAACATAAATGATATGAAAACTTTTGTGAAATGGCTCACATATGGGTCATTCAACTGAAAACGGCATATTTTATGTCCTAGTCTATTACAAAGTCGTTTAAGGAGATGTCGATTTGAAAACTTTTTTAATTATTCAACATCTCAGCATTTCGTACAAGTTAAATTTTCACTGTGAGTGGTAAGTATAGTCATGATCTAAATATGATTTTTTTCAACCCGTAACGCTACTATTTTTGAAAAATACAACGAGTAAAAAAAAGTTTTAAAAAATTTTCTTGTGCAGATTCAGCAGGGCCCAAAAATTTTTAGCTCACTTTGATCACGGACAATGCAAAAAATTTTTGAGAAAAATAAAAATCTCGTTTTAAGTGTTTGTCCATTCCAGCCCTCGAAATATACCGTTTTTCAGTAGAAAGACCCATGTACACAACTACCTCGACAACTACACTAGTTTCTGTACCAAAGCGTCGTGTCACTCGTCAGGCCTACGTATATATAAGCACAGTCACATATCACCTGTCTAACGCGTATACATAACTTTGATGAAAAAATTATTTCTTATCTCTGCCTTATCAGCAAAGCGGGATAATAGGCAGCAACGTATCATAAGTGTACAGATAGGTTCAGTACATGTATATACCCACGGCATTGCGAGTCGACAATAAAGTCGATCGATCCCCAGTAATCGTCTAGTCGTGAGATGATTGATTCATCAACAACAAAGTTGGATCCGTTGCCCAGCACAACTATCCTGGCGGCGATTGCACTGTCAGTCGTTGTGGTCAGTTGCGGCGTGGCCCTCGACAGGGCAAACTCCGGGCCTTTCGAGACCAAGATCGTCGCTTACCTCGAGAAGGCTATCAGCAAGGATTCGTCTCCGGAAAATTTGAAGGTAAACATTTTGAAGTCGAATTAAAAGGGAAACAAGAAATAAAGATTATTTGTAATGCTCACGTGGACTGTACACGTGTAGATTGAGAGTTGTACGAAACAAACATCGGCAGTTTATCCTGTATACCCGAGAAAATCGAGGCTGTGAAGTATACTTTATCCTATAACTTGGGTGACGTGATGGGAGAAAAAAAGTCGATCGCCTAATTGCTTGCGAAACCCCATTTGTGTAATCTGAATTTTCAGGTGATAGGGAACATTTCGAGGTTTCTTCGAGAAATCGGCGCTACGGTCACCGAGATCGGTATGGAAAAAATCGTCACCGCCTGCGCCGATCGGCAACCAGGGCTATTCATCCAGTGCGCCGTGAGTGTATATATACACACGCAACAATTTGCAATAAAAATTAAAAAAGGGTGTACAAAAGGTATGGTTTCAAATGCCGATTTTTCTCTCCGCAGAAAGATTACGCCGGGAGCCACGACGTCTTCTCGAGGTGACCCCATGTATGTGCTGTACCTATAAGTATAGCTTCAAATGGTCAATCACACCCTTTGACGCCAGTCTCATCAAACACCAACGAGCGTACATTCTCTCTGAAAAAACCACTAAAGGTTTATAGATCGTTTGTCAAAAAAAAAAAAAAAAAAGCACGTGCAACTAGTGTGTTTTAGCAGTGCATGTAACGTGTCACGTACGAAACGGCGGTAAACAAGCCCGCGGGAACTACTGCCGCTTTTTTTTTGTACCACTCTAGCGCGTGCGTTTTATTGTTGAGCGGGAGGGAGGGAAAGTGTACCTTCGCCCATACGTTGGGGGAAAAATAGCTCGCGGCTGTTTGTTGCTTTTCTGCAAGGTGCAGTAGTTCTTTTTTTTTTTTTTTTTTTTTTTTCAAGATCAAGTAACGCTAAAGTTGATCGGCCGATGTACGAGTGGTGGGAAGTAAGTAGGAATTTTGATGATTTTTTTTTTTTTTTTTTATATCGCAAGTTCTGTCCACGCTGGTTAATTAAATTAATTGGTCGTTTTATTATTATTACTTAAAATCTGTTTTTTTTTTTTTACTTACTTTATATGGAGCTTCTTCTTTTTAATTTAGCGACACTTAATAGTATCACCTTAACTTTAACATAATTAAAATAGAAAGTTGTGCAAAAAAAGAATGCAACTACTAGAAAACGAGTCTTGTTGTGTGACTACACTACATATTATAACACACCTTTAAAAAATATTTGTTTCTAGACTTATGTCATCACAATTGAAATATTTGAATTAACTACAAAATTGACAACAATTATTCATTTTTTTTTTTTTACATATTTTACTGATTAAAAAATTATAACTAAATATTATAAACGTTCATCTAGTTTTTAAAACAAATTTTTTCTCAGATAATGGAAGTACTTAAGTACATTTGATTGTTAATTGATCGCTATTTCAACTGAAAATAAAATGTATTTTTTTTTCTTTGAAATCCCAATCAACGAATCAAATTTTGTTGTTAATCAACAGTTTTTTTTA